CTCATGTTTATAGCGGTACAGTTTCTAATAGGTAAAGCTTGCAAACAGCCCAAGTGCCCATCAACTGGAGACTGGATGAAGAAGATGTGTTTTTTTAATAAAATGGAGTACTACTCAGCCATAAAGAATGAGAAACTAGAGTCATTGATAGCTAAATGGATGCACATTGAGGCCATACTCTTAAGTGAAATAAATAGGACACACGTGTAAATGCCAAACAGCTTCTCTGGTGTGAGAAACTGGAAGTGTAAATAAGGATCAAAATGTATAATAGATGATGTAAAATAGAAAGGAAAGGTCCAAAGGGGAAGGGGAAGTGGAAGGGGTGGGGAAAAGGGAAGAAGAGAAAGGAATAAATATGAAAAAAGGAAAAAATGGAAACAAAGTCTTTATAAATAGGGAGGGGTGGAGGAGTTGAAGGGAGGGTAGGGGAATGGGGAAAAAATAAGAACCAAGATATGTAAAGGTACAAAATCCCAATGATGAATGTCATTATATTGTATGCCTAAAATGTATCAATAAAATTAATTTTTAAAAGAGTATAACTTGACCTCTGTCTTAGGTAACAACACTGCAGATAATGTGTGAATTTGAGTATCTGTGGGCAGAGATTTACCATTCACTGTCTTGATGAAGAAAAGTGTGTTTTGCAACTAGTTTTACTATTTGCCATTGAATTAGGTCTCTGTGGGTAGTATGAAGTAAGTGCACTATTTACACAAAGCTGCAAGAGATGTGAACAGGAGGTCTAGGCACTGGTTCTAAGTCCTAAAAAAAAAAGGGTAGCAAGAAGTCAAAGAGATAGGGGGCTCGGAAGAGGAATTTGGAGACCAAGCCAAAGATAATCAGTGAAAATAATCTTTTGGCAAGAATAGCCAAAGGAATTTTTTTCTTCAATAACCTTTTTATTGAAGTCCAATATGTGGTTCCACCATTGCATTGGTAACATGTTTAGACGGGCAAACAAACTCACAAGACACATTTAGTTCAGCTCTAAGTTTGCTTAGCTTTGTAGAAGGATACAGGATAGAACACAGAGCATGCATAGCCTTCTGTCTCCATGGAATCTGTCCAGTCTCCATGGAAGCCTGTCACCTTTCCACAGGCATATCGCTGCCTGGATGACTCCTGGCCTCCCTAGAGAATGTGCATGGTTGCTAGGGAATTTGTTATGCATGTAGGGATCACCTTGATGCAAAGAAGTTTCTTCTTTGATTTCCCACTAGTCATATAGGCTTAGAGTTCACAAGTCTCCAGCCTCATCTGCTCACAGATTGCAGGTTTTCCAATGTACATGGTAGGTATCTGGGCTTGTATCCCATATTCCAAACTTAACTTGGGTTATTTATTTATTTTTTTTGGTACCGGGGATCGAACTCGGGTCCTTATGCTTGGGCAGCAGGCGGCGAAACCACTGAGCTAAATCCCTGACCCAACTTGGGTTATTTCAAAAGACTGGTTCTGGGAGAAAGCAAACCTCAATTCTTCCCAGACAGGCCTCTGTCTGGAAGAGAAAGGATACAGTCTTGCCCTTGACCCTTTACTCACACATACGTGAAGAAAAGCACAGAAACCATGAATATAGAGCTTTACCAACATTCAGAAAGTGAACCCAGACTAAGATCAAGAAGTGATTACATTTCAAAATTCCAGAAGCCATTCTTATTCTCTGTTTTAGTCACTAACCCCAAGAAAATAATTAATGCCCTGTTTTCCAACCCATGGGTTGGTGTGGACTATTTTGAACTTTCTATAAATGGAATTCTATGGTATGTGCTTCTTCCACCCAATAATATGGTCGTTTGATCCAGCCATGTTGTATATAGCTGTATTTCACTTATTTTCATTTCTGCATTGTTTTTCATTGTATAATTATTTCACATATTTATCTATTTTATTGTCGATGGATAGTTGGGTTGCTTATTATTTTTAAAATTCAGATCAGTGCTGGTATGAACATTTTTCTGCAGATACTTTTTTTTGCAGATTTTCTGTTTAAGTACATGGCTAGGAGAGGAATTGCAGGACCAAACTATGTGTATGTTTAGCTTTTGCAAAAGGTGTTAAGCAGTGTTAAGTGAGTATAATCAAGGGCACAACCAGCAGCAGTGTTTAAGAGTTCCAGTTGCCCTACATCCTTAGCAACATTTGGAATCATCTCTGTTAACCTTGAAAATAGCCCTAGATCTTAAAAGGACAAGTTAGCTCATAATTAGCTTTGTTGAACTGCGCTGTGATATAGTCTATACCCCTTCTTCTTTATTGTCAGCATTGCAATATGTTACATGTACAATCTAAAATACATTTTACTGGGGATAGTTGAAGAGATTTGATGTCATATAGAAGAGAAGAACATAAAGGTGTGTAATACAGAGCACAAAAGGAGAATTTGGAATTTGAGATATGAAAGATGTGGGTTTCCCATCAATGGAGGGAAGTACACACACACACACACACACACACACACACACACACACATTTGGCTACTTGGATCTCTAATTGCCTCGTAAAGGGCCTGGGTCCTGTTAAAAGTTTGATGAGGAACTTGATAGGTCTTACCTAAACTTGGAAAGAGTTCTGTTGCTTCTCCTAATGGAGAAACTGGAGTAGGGCAGAGAAGAAAGAAGCAGATAAAATAGCTGGAGTTAGGACATTCCCTGAGGGTAATACAGTCTGGGGGAGTAAGAATGCCTGTACTCTTAGGCTGTCCATGATGTGATTTCCTTCTTCCCTATTACCTCTACTTATTCAGCAGAATCTGTTGGATCACGAGTGCTGGGTTTGGATGTCCTTGCATGTGTGAAAAGTGTGTAGGTTGTACTTCATATCTGGTTCTACATGGTGCAAGGCAAAGACCATAAGAAACATGCAGAATCCTGGAAAGTAGAAGAAACTCCAAGCATGACCCTTTGGCCCTTACAATGTATCTAAATCTTGGACAAGATCGTGTGAGTGCTATGTTAAGGATAGGATAGAGGTTGGTTCCAACCAATTTAGCTAGATTTTGAGGATAGAAATAACCTCAGTTAACATCTGGATTATAGATACCTAACTTCGCAGAAGCTTGGATAACTGGGACAATCATGGAGTTCTCATTTGGGTGACAGTTGCATTAATGGAAAAATCCAAACACAAGTGGTAAGAGATGCAGAAGTGTAACAGAGGAGTATCAGCCAATGATACATGAAACAAGAAAAGTGTGGACCAGGACCAGGATGGGGTCATTTTCCTAAGTGACACCTGGAGAAAAATTTATCTGCTTCTTTTGTGGAGAGGAAATTGGATGTCAGGATGCAGCTGCCCCTGGCCCTCTGATTCTGTCTGATTGCTTCTATGCTGACTCTGATTGCTTCTATGCTGACAGTGGGCTCATCCACCAGGATCCTGACCACTGCTCTCTGCAAGGCCATCTCCCTTTGTGTCTAACCTCCCGACACATCCTGGGGCCATCTTCCCATTCTCTTGGCTGCAGAGGTTTGACTTTGACTGTTAAAGGGAAATAATTTTGACACTCCTTAAAATGATAAGACTTTATTCAATATGATTGCATTAGTGGTCAAGACCATTGCAACAGGGAAAAGACTGAAATCTGAACACCACGAGGATAGCTGGGGATTGATAGCTGGAGTGAGGAGGTGAATGATGTAAAGTTACTAAGAGGAAGTATCAAGGGTGAGACTTGCCAAGCAGGCTTAACAAGATGATAACAAAAGGCTGATCAAGAATTCTGACATGAAGGGCAGAGATGAAGAATTTGATCAGATAGCCAGGGTGAGGGTACTCTTGCTAAAATGACTCAGCAGGACTCTTGTCAAAGCCAGGCCAATGATGGCCAGAGACCAAGTTTTGTCAAGAGGAAGACCTGACTGCAGTTGAGCTAAGGGGGAAGTCTGTATCACCACTCACTATCACATTAGTTATCAGGCTGAAGGAAGCCCAGGCTCTCTGTATTTAATCTCTGAGCACCAGCCTCCCCCCACTCTTCTTTTGTGATTAGTTGTCCTCTTTGGATCTAAAGTTCATCTAGGGTAGTATGTTACACTTCCATCCTGGGAAGTATGAGTGTTATAAGAAACACAGACATGGAGTGCCACAATTTTGTCCCTTTCTCTTGGAATGGGAGTGGGGAAGAAAAACTTCTTTATTCCCTGATGAAGTTCCTGTAGAAAGCTAGAGCAAACAAAATGTCTTTCTATCAGACAGTTGCTTTGACTTTAATAACTTTTCTTGTTTCTCTGCCTGTATCATACTTGAGGTCTTTCCTTGGGGCTTCCTTGAATTGTGTTATGATGGAAATACCTGCTGGATACCAGCAGCTGTGAAGGTGGAGGTGAGGTGACATGCTTATCAGGCTTCCTAATGATGGGTGTGTGGCTTGAACAAGAGGCAGATTCCCCAACTCCATTTGGAGAATCTGTTTCATCCTGAGTAATTTCTCCAGACCCAAACGTTTTTCCTCTAAGTTAGCATTTCTCAAGTCTCAGAGTTGTTGACATTTTAGGCTGGATGATACTTTGTTTCAGGAGGATATGCTGTGCATTGCAGGGTATTTAGCAGCATCCTTGGCCTTTTTGCACAAGATGCCAATAGGTAGCTCCCTTCCCCAAGGAGTGAAAACCCAGAATGTTTCTAGAACATTGACAAATGCCCTCTGGGAGGCAGAATTGCTCCTGGTTGA